TGCCTGAATCTCCCTATCTAAGTCAACCTGCAAGCTTGAAAAAAAAATGGCATATGGAGAAGGAGGAGTTACAGTGAAGGGATGATGGTCTGGAACACTTAGATATGATGTAGGTTAAGTGTTTAGGTGATTAGAACTTGAAACGCACGAGTGGATTTTTGGATTGCTATGCTTGGTACAAAACTGCAAGTTATGGCAGGTTTTTGGTGATAGAGAATTTGGGAGAGTTTCTGGCCTTTAGCAATCGTGTCCTAGGTTGTAATGTGTTTGTGTAAATGTATAGAGAAGGTTTCAAATCCATTTCACAACAGATTTCTGAGTTCTAGGCTTTTTGCTCTATTGCTTGACTTTTAAGAAAGGTGAGGAGACAACTATCTACATGCTTGTACAGGCCTGGTTTGAGTTGGTACAAGTATTAGAAACTTTTATTTTGGTTTATAGGACTTGTGTGTGCAGAAAAACAAATGCAAGGCTCAAGGAGTGAAAAGTTGCAAAAGTTATGCTTTATCAAAGTGGAAATGGCACCTTTGTGTCAAAAATGGAAATGTTCATGTACAAAGCATTGAATGCTTGGCTTTAGGGCATGAAACCTTGTGAAATTCATTAATGGTGGAGTGAAAAATGAGTTTGAGGCCTGAAAAGTGAAGATTGTACAGCATGCTTGAGGATTTGAATTTTGTTCTTCATGAAATGGCTTGAAATCAAAGTGAGAAATTGCCAACTTCATCTCTTCGATTCTCCCTACTCTAAAATGATCTCAAGGAGTTATTTTACATTTTGGAAAGCTTGCAATGTTCTCTATAACTCATATTTGAAAGGATTTTCAAGATTCCTCTTGGAACTAGGTGAAAAGTTGCCATGAAGTTAGGTCAAAAACCTGCCTAAATTAGGGCAAAATTTCACTAAGTTATTTTAGTTCATGGGCATGTATCCAAGCATCTTTATGAAAAAATGTGTGAATCAAAGTTTTAGATTTCATGGAGATCTACAACTTTTATGTTGTGAACTTTCTTTGAATCATCTTGTATCATGGTGGAAATTTGGCTTAAATTTGAGAAAAAAATAAGAAATTTTCTATACTTAGAAAAATTTCTAAGTTAAGAAAACTTCAAATTTCAAAACAAAATCTTCAATTTTTGATTTCTTGATGAAAAAGTTTCACATTTTGACATTTTTTGATGAATTATGATCCTTGGCACTTGATTTTGACCAAAAAGTCAAAGTTTGACTTTTTAGTATACAGTTAACTTTTGATCAGTTGACTGCAAATTTCATCTGTCAATCCAATGAAATTGCAATGTTTTGAACCATGTCATTAGGTCAAGATGACACAATTGAACCCTTGAAATCATGCTTCAAACCAATTGGTCATTTTCTAGGTTAAGAATCAGAAATTGCCTTTTCTCAATCAAAACCCTAATTTTGACTATTTTGCCCTTTTGATGATTTAATCAAATTTCTTGAGGAATTATGGTCCAAACTTGATCAAATGATACATATGAGTCCAAAATGTTTATGTGGATAAAAAATTATGAAGTTTAAGTGTAAATTGGCCATGGTTGACTTTTTCCTCAATATAGTTGATTTTTAGGTCAACTGTCCAATTGACTGATAAAAAATGTGACTCAAGGCTTGAAACTTGACATGAGTAATCTTAGGGGTCCATAATGATACTTGAAATCCATATTAAACATTGATAGTCCAAAAATCCTTGTGCAAACCCAAACCCTAATTTTGGGTCATCAGGTCATGATGAGATGTCTTGAGCTGGTCAGTTGAGTTTGGGTTTGGGTTTGCACATGATGAGATGTGCAAACCCAAACCCTAATGTTGAGTTTATTCCTCATTGGGAAGAGTTTTGTTTGATTATCTCTCTCCAACTTATTCCTAGATTGAACCTTGTCTCTGAAAAATAAATTTGTTTGGATCTCTCTAAGCAGTAAACCCTAGATTGAGAGTGCATTTATTTTACACATATGAAGACTTTATCTCCTCAACAAGAATCTGTTTGCGGTTCCCCTGGAAGTTGAATTTATTTTCCAACAGCATTATTGCAATTATTACCCGGCAAAAAGTGGTGGTCTCTTTATTTGAGAAGCTTGTATGTCCCTATATTACCTTTTGAGGATGAAAACGGCAGTTTGTTATTTCCTAGAGAAGTTGTCCCTAGATATCAATTAAATCCACTCCAATGGATGAGATAGTTTTTTGTGAAATTTTATCTACTTTAATGCAATGTTAACCACAACACATGGCTTCGTCACAAATCCCCACCCTAGAGTTGATGTTAATAATTTATTTTCTAGTCTCAGAACTGACGTCATTCTTTTTCCAGTCTCAGTACTGACAACAATCTTTTCTCCAGTCTTAGTACGGATGTCAATCGATTTTCCCAACCTCAGAGTTGATGTCAATCTTTAATTTTCGCACCAGTCTCAGTACTGGTCTAAATCATTTTCTCTGGTCTCAGTACTGATGTCAATCGATTTTCCCAGCCTTAGAGTTGATGTCAATCTTTCATTTCTGCACCAGTCTCGGTACTGATGTAAATCTTTTTATCCAGTCTCAGTACTGATGTCAATCGATTTTCCTAACCTCTGAGTTGATGTCAATCTTTCATTTACCAGTCTCAGTACTGATGACAATCGTTTACCAGTCTCAGCACTGCTATCAATAATTACCAATCACAATATTGATGTTACTAGTCTCGGTACTGATGTCAATCGTTCACCAGTCTCAACACTTCTGTCAATCATTCTGAGTCGTAGTATTGATGTTATGAGTCTCGGTACTGATGTCAATTGTTTACTAATCTCAGCACTACTATCAATCATTACCAGTCTCAGCACTGCTGTCAATCACTACCAACTGCAGTACTGATGTTACTAGTCTCGGTACTGATGCCAATCATTTCTTTTCCAACCACATAGTTGATGTTAATCATATCAGTTTTTCTGGCCCCAGTCTTAGTATTGATGTCAATTATTTCTTTTCCAACCATAAAGTTGATGTTAATCATATCAGTTTCTTGCCCCAGTCTCAGTATTGATGTCAACCCTTTTTTCTCCCCAGTCCCAACCTCATAGTTGATGTCAATATTTCCTTTGCCCGGTTTCAGTACTAATGACAATCATTTCCCCAGTAAATTTGTTAGCAGTTTTATTCCAATAAAGGGCATCTCTCCAGAAAAGTTCCGCAGAGAAGTTCGTTGTGAAATCCTTACAGGTGGTGGTCCCTTTAGCAGGGACAATTTATTATTATCCTTTTCAAGTGGAATACTTGATTAGGAAGAAACTGATACTAGTTCGTGTCTTGTGACCAAGATCGCAGCGATGTTTGTTACCCTTTTCAGATTAAAAAGTGGAGGCCCATTCTAGGTGGAGTACCAGAAGTAATTTCTTTCTTCTCAAGGTTATTCCCCAATAAGAGTCTCCCATTTTAAGTTTGTTGTTATTTTCCCAGTGGAGTTGTAATCTCTTCCCCTATAGATTTTCCTTTATCCTTTGCTTGATTTCTCTAGTAGAATTTTGTCTCATGTGGTATCATTCCCTGTAAAATTTAGAGTATTGCATTCATATCATATCATAAGAATCATTGCGGTATCTTAGAGCAAAAAATTAAGCATTTTTGTATTTAAGTATCTCCCATCACGTCGGGACGAAGATTTCAATCTTCATATCTCCATATAGGAGAAACTTAAATAGGGGAAACTATCATACCCTAATTTTTACCAATAAAATGACACCTTCTTTTTCACCTTCACATAACATCAAGATCACAAGGTGTGTTCGGCTCCTAACTCTTTCACCTTTGGGTTTATCTTTATAAAATTTGTCAAGTACCTTATGTGTGTATTTTACCTTTGTGTTTATTTTGATCACTAACCTCTAATCAAGTACAAAGATGTATGTTTTGTTTCTTTGGTTTCCTATACAAAGACAAGTTTAAATCAAGAGCATCAAGTGTTGTGCTTCAGCTAGGGTTTTGAATCCCTCAAGTGTCAAACATGGTGAATCACTGACTCTCAAATCCTACTTCATCAGAGTATGACATTTAAATTTAAAGCACATTGACCAAAACACAACATTTTCAAGATCAAGTTCAGAAGATCATAACTTTTTTGATATTCAACATTTATGAGTGATTCTTTAAGCATTTAGTCCATTTTGACGTCCTCTCCAATTCATCTTCACAAGTCAAGGGCCAATTATGTTATAACAAATGGAGTTATCCATAAGTTTGTTTCAAGGATCAAGAGCAAATGGTGTTTGGAAGACCATGAAATTTATTGGAACATTGTAGGTCTTTTTTTACTTAGAATGTACTTGATATTGATTTTTTTTAGAACATTCACAATAAAGTCAAGGGTCATGGTATAAGATTTTGAGCTTAAGGATTCTTTATAATCAAAGTCTCGATTGTTTTCAAGTGTATTTGTATTTTTGAGGATTAATTTGAAGATTGGACTCCTTGTTCTTTTGACCTTTCAAGTGACCATGGTTTCATTAAAATTCACCGCCATCAAAATTAACTTTTCAAGTTGTTAAAATTAAAATTCAATGTCTACTTATACAAATACGACATCCATTCAAGATTCGTTCAAGTCTTTCCTAGTTCCATGGGTTAATTTCAAGAAATAACATCTAATACAAAAGGAAGATTCAAATTGTTCCAATTTCAAGTTTCTATGTCCAATTCAAGGCCAAATGATTCAATTTTGTCAAGATATTTAGAATTTCTCAAGCATTTTCTTTCAAGGCCATCATTTCAATTTTTAAATGTCATTCAAGAATTAACTAGTTTCCTAAAAGCTTAAACTTCAAGTTACAAGTTCATCAAATTCATTCATCATTTCATCAATATCATTACAAAAGAAAAGAAAAGAGATATTGGGAAAGTTGGTCTTGTACATTGAATTTAAATATTCGAGAGGATTACATGAGTTTTGGCAAAGTCTTATTCTAAATATATCTTGTTACGAAATTGTTTCATGGCTAACTTCAACAATGAACCACCAAGAGAATTGTATGAAGATTCCTATCATAAGCTAAAACTTTTCCATCACTCCTAATTTCCAAAGCTCCTTCATCAATCCTCAAAATATCAATCCTAACCATGCCTTTCCCAAATCTTGTTACAAACCTGTCCACAATTTTTGCAGCCATAAAACAAACACAAATAGTCCAAAAAACATATGCCAAAACCTGTAAAATAGCTGAAAATAACAACACATTAAACTTGTCCATAAACCTTACAAAACTTGAAACAATAAAAACAAACAAAATAGTCCAAAAAATTGTCAAAACATCTTGTTGCACCGGTCCCTGTCCATTGCTTCCCTATTACATTAAAATGGCCAAAACAAACTGCAATCAAGAAAGCATTTCAAAGAGTGCCACATTTGTTCAAACTCAACAAAAATTTCCCTCCCAAATTCCAGATATTTTCAACTATATAAAGAGGTTTCAAAGCAGTAGAAAGGGGAGAGTGAGAACACAGAGAAAATTTCAAAGAGATGGAATTTCAAAAAATATTACACATAAAAAATCCATCTGCTCCTTCAATACTCAACTTCTCAACTTCTGTCAAAATCTCACAATAGCCATCACCGAATCACTCAGACACCAGCTTAACAACAGAAGAAGAAGAAAGGGTTTGAGCTACCTTCTTTTGAAACTCCATCGGAGAGGCTCCGATAGGTGATATTTCTTGCATAAATTTAACACCTCTGCATTTGTCACGGTCATAACTTGTTGTTGTGGCATATTTATTCACTGTGATAGAAGTGGAAAGTTTTGAACATGAGTCTAAATCAAATTGCTTATTTACGTTTCATGATACCTCGATGTTTTGTTGAAAAAATGATATCTTGTAGTATCGTTTGCCATGCTATCACTTGTGAGTCATTTATGGACATATTCATGTTATCAATGTTGTATCCCTGTATTAAAAAAAGTGTTATCTGCTATTTCATCAGAAACCATAAACTTTGAACGAAAAGTTGTTTTGAAAGAAAACACAAGTGTTGTTTGCTTGTTTACCGATAAGTAGAAATCTTGAGCGAACAGTTAGCATATAGAAGATTGAGATGAGCGCTATCAATATTGCTGCCATAAGTTCTCAGGCAAGGCAAAACTGTGAGCATAAAACAAGGCACCGAATTATTGTCATTGGTTTCTTTGACGCGGGTACTGCAAACCATGTGAAATCGTGAGAGCTGAGATATTGTTGTCGTGAAAACAGAACTGAGAGGTGTTTGCCATCATAGATCATGAACAAAGAGGTCATGTTTTCGTGTACAAAGATGGAGGGGTTACAATTTAGTGGACAGAGAGATTAGGGATTAACGTAAAAGGGTTTGTTGTTGAATGATAAAGGGGAAAATGGATTTCACGGGAAGACTAAAGAAAAATGTCGTTCCTTCTTTCGTTTTGTTTTGATAAGAGGCGTTAACTTGACATTTTTTAGGGTTTTGTTTTAACCTGTTACCAGTAAGAGTGATCCGGGTCTGGACCCGACCCTATCCAGGCCCATTTTTTCAATAATTTTTTTCGTTTCTTACATCCTGGGCCCCCTTTCAATAATCAAATCCCAACGAAATTTCCATGCACACCCCTTGTTTGTTGTTTTCTCTTTTTTTTTTTTAATTGTTGTATTTCATTATCTTGTTATTTGTTACTAATAGTTAATTTGGTGTTTTTTCTTTTTTAATTGCTTCATTTTTGTCATTTATATTAATTGGAAATTAATTTTGTTAATTAATTTTATTTAATCTAACTAATTTTAATTAATTAGTTTTATTAAACATTCTCAATTAACTTGATTAATTTTTATTTGTTAATCGTTTAAATCATTTAATTGTCAGTTGTTTAATCTCCTTTCAACTATTTTATCTTTATATTTTTCATTGTGTTTGAATCCAAGGGAAAGGAGCGTCTTATTAACTTTATGTCATTGTGCGTCTATTGCATGCTTATTTTTATCCTATTTGCTTTCTTTTAGTTAAAACCTTTAAAACCTTATTTTCAAGCTTACACCCTTTTAAGCCAAAACCTCGATTTTTAAAATTTCTTTAACCCAAACTTTTTACAAGCAAACCAATTTTAACCAAAAAAACAGCTATTTCAAAAGGTTCTTATAGGATACTATAGATACATAGGGTGCTAGTACCTTCCATTTGTATAACCAACCCCCGTACCTTATATCTCTTTAAATGCATTGTTTTGCCCTACTTTTTAGTGTTGCTTTTACTTTGTATATTTATTTATGGGTCTTATTTCGCTCTTTTCTCTTTCCTTTGGAAATAATAAAGCGTGGTGGCGACTTTCATTGTAATGAGTCAAGTCAATCAATGACTTGGTCTCGAAATTTCACCGCTACAGCTACATAAATTACTTATTCATCAGTTAGGAAAAATATGGTTGGTTTATCTTTGTTATAGAGTTTACAAAATTCAATATACCTTTGTTGAGGTACTTGATAAATATCTTTCAGATGTTATGGCAGCTTTGATAATTTTTTGTCAGTTCATCCACCATCTGAGTTAACAACTTGCTTTGAGCAAGAATAGAATCATTAGTGTTTAGTTATATGATGACATTCTTTCTCTGGGAAGGGTTTCTATTTTGTTGTCCTTAATGATCACTAAGTTTAATTTGCTCAATGATTGTTGTTCATCTTCCGCACTTTTGGACATGAGAGAACCCGCAACAGTAACATATAGCAACTACTTTGGTTGTTGTTAGAGTCAATTTCTAAAGATGTGTATTTGTGTGAGTTCATCAAAATTATGGATTAATCATCATCTCAGCATGGACGTATATCTTTCCCATGCTTCATAGAGAGTTTTTTTTGTGCCTTGGGAAAACATCATGATGGTTCTCTTGCTTCCATAAATTTGTTGTAAGGAAATAATATGTTTAAGAATTTTTTTCCTCCAACAAGTTCTAATTTATCATTTTCGATGTAGTTTCACTACTATAAATAATACATTATATGACAAATAATTCACCTCAGCAAACAAAAAATATATCTTCCATTTTTAATTAAAGATATTGAAAATTAAATGTCAATTCATATTTTAAATCTTCAAAATCCCAAAATTTATCTTTTTATTTTTCTTCCTCTGCCATTTTCCATTTCTTTTTATTTATTTCCACCTCTTCTATTATTTTCGATATCTATGATTAATTAAGTAACAATTACACTATTATATTAGATTAAAAGGTGACTTGAAGCTAAATAGAACCAACACATTTAATATAAAAAGAATTATGAGTTCGACTCAATATTAATTGGCTTCTCATCCATCATCTCTTACTTAAGACAAATTTGTTTCCTTGATATTTACACCTCAAAATGGCAAATTTCCACATGCTTCAGTTCATTTTGAAGAGAAACAATAGAATGAATAATTGTCCTCCACCGACTTAGAAGCCATCTTGGACATTCTCCCAACCCTTCCCTTCCCCAAACTCGCATGCTGGTTTTGATATTTTTTATGTCGGGTCCAATCCAGGGATCTAGTAGTCGTCCTATGTGGGAAGACGATGTCAATAAAGATCAATTATGACTCTACTTCCTGATCTTTGTATGAGGCCACCTTGCGTAAGAAATAGTCCTTGGGAGGACCATGTTGCAAATTTTCTTCAGAGTATTGTTTTAGCCAAAGAGTGAGTTTTATTATTGCAAAAAAATATAAATATTGTTGAGTATATTGCTAGCACCTTGTGTCATAACCGGCAAATAATACAAGTTGCCACCACTACTTTTTGTCCTAAAGACACGAAAGAACGGATAACCCTAATTTGGTTTAGAGATTCTAGATTCGTGAGTTGGTTAGACGAATGAAAGGTGTTAGGCACCTTTCATCTCCCTTGTTCTCAAGGGGCTTCCCATTTAGGTTCTAGAGTAAATCAGGAATTTTCTATTTAAATGTTATTATTTCCATGTAAATAAGAACATGTTTAATCTTTTAATTAGAGGACTCACATTGGTTTTAACTGTATGCCTAGGTATCCTCTTGCGAAGAAATCAGAGTCTATTTCATAGTTCATATGGTTTGGTTAGTTTTTTTATAAGTTACTTAGAATTGCTTTCGAATTTATCCTTGAGCCTTGTCTGGGTTTGAAAAGAGTGATCGTAGACGCAATTCACAGTTAAAGTTGATAGCAATTCACATCTTGGTTTTTATTAAGTTATTAGAAAAATAATTTGAAGTTGGTTAGCTATATTGATTAGGTTTTGATCGATTGAAGAAGAGTTGATCATCCTTAGAATTAAATTGCACTAGGCGAAGAAATTAATTTGATAGATTGGTGAATTTTAAAATTTTTTTACTTGAGTGATTAATTGGTAAGACGTTAACTTAACCAATCGATTACTCGAGGATGTGGTGGATATAAAATCCACCAATCCTATTATTTATAAAAACGTTAGAATTAATTCTAATTAAAATGAGTTTGATTATTACGCGGAGAAAAAAAACCAAGATTTGATGTATTGAATAGATTTTAAAGTGTGGAAAAAAAAAGATTTTGTTTTTGTTCTTTTTATTCATAATGTTTTTTTTTTGTATTTTTAATAATGAATAAAAAAGTTAAAATAAAAAAGTTTTTTTTAATAATACTAACAAAAGATATCAAGTTAAAAAAAAGTTTTTCAATAATACTAATAATAAGAAGAAAAGTTAAAGTTAGAAAAAAAATTTTAAGATTAGAAAAAAAAATTTTCAATAATAATAATAAAAAAAAGTTTAAGGTTAAAAATATGTCTTTTAAGGTTAGAGAAAATATTTTTTTATAAAAAAGATGAAAATAATAATAAAAAAATACGAATATCATAAACCATACACAAAACAAATAGCAATCAAACGATCGAAGCAAAACTCAAACAAGAATAAATTCTAACCTACATCATACACATGCTTAAAGATATGAATAAAATATCAATACGTAATGTCGTAATCAAGTTAAGTTGCTCCCTTCATCATTCTTTTCCTTTTCTTTGTGCTTTTCTCCTTTCTAATTTGATGCAAGATTCTATTTTTTTCCTTCGGTACAAGATTTCTCTTTTTTCATATTGATGGTGGAATAAAGACTTTAGGATTTAATTGTCGTTGTTCTTCAATGTGAAGAACAACAACTTTTAGAGAGCGAATTTGTAAATTATGGATGAAAAAAGTGTAGAAACCCAGGACTATTTATAGATGAAATTTTAAGTCAAAAATTAAATGTGATTCATCTATTTTTGGCATGATTTTGTAAATTGATATTCAATTCTGTCTTGAGTTCAAGTCGGTATGATTTTGGCAATATCCGCGGACTTGTATATAGATTTGATTTGATAATCAAAAATAGATATTTTTATGTGATTTTTAGATTTTTGGCTAATTAGTGCATAAAACTAAAGATTTAACAAAATAAATAAATAAATAAATATTAAAATATTCATTTATAAAAGAAAATTCTAATTAAAAAATAAGACATTTTCTAACTTTTTTTTAATTTTTTTTCGTGAATCGAGTAATTAAAATAAATCTAAATCTAAATAAATATTATCATAATTTAAATTTAAATTAGATGTACTCAAAAAAAAAAAATTAGTGTATAAATAATATAAAATTAAAATAATCCTAATATAATGAAATAAAAATTAGTAACAATAATAAATTCTAAATATATCAATAATAAAACTAAAATAACAATCTAATATTTTAAAAATTAAAATTAAAATCAAATTAAATATTGAAGATCAAAATAAAAACTAAATCAAAGATTAAAAATTAAATATTGAAAATGAAGATAAAAACTAAATCGAAGATCATAAAATTAAATCTAAAATTGAAAATTAAAATTAAATCAAAGATTTAAAATTATAATAAAAATCAAATCAAAGTTTTTATTGTTTGAAAAATTACATAGAATAATATTTTATTTTTTATTAAAATAATGATTCATTTTCCTTTTTTTGATTTTTGATCTAAAAGCTGCACAAAATCATTATTTAAATGAAAAAATAAACTAATAAAAAACAAAAAATTAATTTAAAATAAAATAAAATAAATTTTTTATTATTTTATGATTTTGAAAATAATGCAAAAAAAGTTAGTAGTAAAGAAAATACAAATAAAAAAGAAAAATGCACTAAAGTGACAAAGATTTCTTAAAATAATGATTCATTCTTTTTTTTTGGGTCTAAAAG